ACCAAAAGGAAGTTCTTCATTTGTTTTTTTTGGGGGGGGGGGGGGGGGCGGGATACATCATCTGCCTTCTTGCTTATGCCATTTCTGTTTTCAATTCTTTTTGACTATATACATAGGAGTGGAATTGTTATGCATGATAATTGGGCCATATGGTAATTCTATGTTTAACTTTTTAAGGAACTATCAAACTGTTTCCACAGGGGCTGCATCATTTTACATTCCCATCGGCAATGAACATAGATTCCAGTTTCTCCATGCTCTTGCCAATACTTGTTATTTTCCTTTTTAAATTATATCCATTCTAGTGGAGGTGAAGTGGTATCTCGATTTGCATTTCCCTAATGTCTAATAATGTTGAGCATCTTTTCACCTACTTGAGGGACATTTGTGTGTTATCTTTGGAGAAATGTCAATTCAAGTCTTGATTTTTAAAATTTGGTTGTTTTTCTTTTTGTTGCTGAGTTGTACGAGTTCTTTACACAGTACGACCTTTGTCAGATATATGATTTGCAAATTCTCCTATTCTTTTCACCTTCTTGATGTCTTTGATACACAACAGTTTTTAATTTTTATGAAGTCGATTTTATCAATTTTTTATTTTGTTGCTTGTATTTTTGTTGTCATTTCTAAGAACCTATTGCCAAATTCAAGGTCATGATTTCTTGAACTGTTTTTGTACCAGCTTCCTAGGGTTGCCATTACAAAGGCCCACACCTGGATGGCTTCAGACAACAGAAATTTATTCTCTCATTGTGTTGCAGGCTGGAAGTCTGGAGTCAAGGTGTCAGCAGGCTCGAGCTCCTTCTCAGTCCTTCTTTGCTTCCTCCTGGCTTCTTATGGTTGCCAGCACCCTTGGTATTCCCTGGCTTGTAGACGCGTCACTCAAATCTCTGCCTCTTTCATCACATGGCATTCCTCATGTCCGTGTCTGTGTCTCTTCCTTTTTTTCACAAGGACATCAGTCATATTGGATAAGGGCACACCCTAATGTCCTCATCTTAACTTGATTACATTTGCAAAGACCTTCATTTCCAAAAAGTCTCAGGCACGTGTACTGATGGTTACAACTTCAACATCTCTTTTTGGGAGATACAATTTAACTCATAATAGCTTCCTTCTAAGAGTCTTATACTTTGAGGTGATATATTTAGGTCTTTGATTCATATTGTGCTAATTTTTGTACATGGTATGAGGTAGGGATCCAGCTCATGCTTCTGCATGTGTATATCCAGCACTATTTGTTGAATAGATTATTCTTTCCCTCTTGAATGGATTGGTACCCTTGTCAAAAACCAAATATGGGTTTATTTTTGGACTTTCAATTTTGTTCCATTGGTTTATATGTCTGTCCGTATGCAAGTGCCACACTGTTTTTATTACTGTAGCTTTGTAATAAGTTTTGAAATTAGGAAGTGTGAGTCTGTCCAAGTTTAGTCTCCTTTCTCAAGATTGTTTTGGCTGTTCAGGGCCCCTTCCAATTCCATATGAATGTGAGGATCAACTTTTCCATTTCTGTAAAAAATGCACTGGAATTTTGATAGAGACTGTACTGAATGTGTAGATCACTTTGGGTAGTGCTGACATTTTAACAATATTAAGGCTTCCAACCCATGAACATGAATATGAGTTATCTTTACATTTATTTAGGTCTTTTAAAATTTCTTTTAGCAATGTTTTTTAGTTTTCAGTATACAAGTCTTTCACATCCTTGGATAAATTTATTCATAGGTAGTTTTTCTTTTGGAGGATATGGAACTGCTTTCTTCATTACCTTTTTCAATTGTTCATTGAAGTTGTATAGAAACACGATTAACTTTTGTGTGTGTTGATCTTATGCTCTGAGATTTTGCTGAATTTGTTTACTGTCTGTAGTAGTCGGGCTGTTTTCAATATTCATTGGAGTTTTCTATATTTCGGATCATGTCATCTGTGAAGAGAGAGAGTTTTACTCCTTCATTTCCAATTTGGATACGTTTTCTTGCATAATTCATCTGTCTAGAGCTTCTGGTACAATATAGAATACCAGTGGTGAAGGAGGGCATCCTATCTTGTTCCTGATTTTAGGGGAAAGCTTTCAGTCTTTCTTCACCGGGTGGGAGCTTACCGGTGAGTTTTTCATAAACACCCTTAATCATGTTGAGGAAGCACCTTCTACTCCTAGCTTTCTGAGTATTTTTTTTTTTTAATTATGAAAGGATGTTGGATCCTGTCAGATGCTTTTTCTGCATTTTTTGAGATGATCATGTGTGGTTTTCCCTTCATTCCTTTAATGCGATATATTATATTGATTAATTTTTGCATGTTGAACCACCTTTGTATTTCTGGGATAAATCCCACTTTGTTGTAGTGTATAATCCTTTCAATATGCTGTTGGATTTAGTTTGCTAGTATTTCATTGAGGACTTTTATGTCTATATTCACGATTCACGAGGGGTAGAATGAGTAATGAAGTACTCCCTCCTTTTCTATTTTTGGAAGAGCTTGAGCAGAACTGGCGATTACCAAGTTAAATATTTGGTAGTATTAACCAGTGAAGTCATCCAATCCTCGACTTTTCTTTGTTGAGAGATTTTTAAATACTGATTCAATCTTTTTACTTGTTATAAATCTATTCAGGATTTTTATTTTTTCTTGAGTCAGTTTTGGTAATTTGAGTGTTTCCAGGAACTTTTCCATTTCATGTAGATTATCTAATTTGTTGGATTAGAATTGTTTGTAGTATTCTCTTGTAATCCTTTGCATTTCTGTAAGGTTGGTAGTGGTGTTCCCAGTTTCATTTCTGATTTTAGTTATTTGCACCTTTTCTTTTTTTTTGTAGTCTGTCCAGCTAAAGTTCTGTTAATTTTGTTGATGTTTTCAAGTGACTAACATTTGTTTCATTGACTCTACTTTTTTCTACTCTCTATTTCATTTTCTCTGCTCTAATCTTTATTATTTTCTTCCTTCTGCTAGCTTTGGATTTAGTTTGTTATTGTTTTTCTAGTTCCTTGAGTGATAAAGTGAAGTTATTTATTTGAGGTCTTTCTTCTTTTACAAATGTAGGCATTTACAGCTATAAATTTCTCCCTTAGTAGAGCTTCTGCTGTGTTCTATATGTTTTGGTATGTTGTGTTTTCATTTTTATTTGTCTCTAAGTATTTTCTATTTTCCCTTGTGATTTCCTTTTTGATCCATTGGTTGTTTAAAAGTGTGTTGCTTAGTTTCCATAATTTTGTGAATTTTCCAGTTTTCTTTATGTCATTGATTTCTAACTTTATCCTGCTGTGGTCAGAGCAGATACTTTGTATAACTATCTTTTAAAATCTACTGAGACTTAATTTGTGCCCTAACATGTGGGCTACCCTGGAAAATGTCTCATGTGCACTGGAGAAGAATGTGTGTGCTGTCGTTGTTGGGTGGAGCGTTCCACACATGGCTGTTAGAACTAGCTGGTTCATTGCGTTGTTTAAGTCCTCTATTTTCTTATTTGTCTTCTGATTGTTCTATCCATTATTGTGAGTGGGGTATTATCGTAGAACTATCTGTTTCTCCCTTCAAATCTCTCAGTTTTTGCTTCATATATTTTGATGGTCTGTCATTAGGTACATAAACGTGTATAATTGTGTTATCTTTTTGCTGTATTGAACTTTTTATTAGTCTATAATGTCCTTTGTCTCTTGTAATCTTTTTTGATTCAGAATCTATTTTATTAGTATATTATTTATTCATTATTAGTATATTTATTACTAAATATTAGTATAGCCACCCTTCTCTCTTTTTGTTACTATTTGCATGGAATATCTTTTTTCATCCTTTCACTTCCAACTAGTTTGTGTCTGTGGATCTCAAGTGAGTCTTGTAGACAGCATGCCATTGGATCACGTGTTTTTATCTATCCCATCAATCTCTGTCTTCTGATGGGACACTTTAATCCATTTACATATAAAGTAATTACTGATAAGGAAAGACTTCCTTCTGTCATTGTACTATTTGTTTTCTATATGCCCTATAGCATTTTGGTCCCTCACTTCCTGCATTCCTATCTTTGTTTGTGGTAATTGGTTTTTTGTAGTGAAATGTTTAAATTCCTTCTTAATTTCCATTTGTGTATATTCTATAGCTATTTTCTTTGTGGTTACCATAGGGATTACATTTAACATCCTAAAGTTATAATATTCTAACTTGAATATATAACAGCCTAACTTCAATAACAATTTTTTTTGAAAATTAAGTAAACCAGACATTAAACTTTCTTAACTTGGCATAAGGTATCAATCTGAAATCTCCAGACCAGCAAACAAACCTAATAGTAAACCATTAGGAGCATTTCCATTAAGATAAAAACAAGACACAGAGATCTGCCATCATTTCTACTGGAGGTTCCAACCATTACTATAAGACAAGAAAAAGATATAAAAGATAAAATATGAGAAAGGAAGTGATGAAACAGCCTTTATTTGAAGGAAATATGATTTTCTAAAATCTAGAACAAATAACCAATTGACAAGCTATTAAAAATGAGTTCTATAAGGTGGCTGCAAACAAGGTCAATGTGCAAAAGTCAATCAGCTGTGCCTAATTAGCAAATTCAATTTTAAAAATCTTTAAAATAGCCATAAAAATTCTAAGGTACCCAGGTATAAACCCAGAGAGAAAATACAAGGCCTGTATGGAGAAAACCAGAAAAACTAATAGGTTTTTTAAAATAGGCTAAAAAAGATTATTTCTAAGTTGAATTTAGAATCTTAAGGAAAACTCTGCTTTAAAATTTAGTATCTCAATATAGTAAATGTAGATTCCACACAAGTAGATGTAACTACTTCTTTGTATGCAACAAAGCCAGCCAGGGATAAAACAAAACCCCATGTGGACAGATAAATAGATAGTGATTGATGGGTGGGTAGTCCAGTCCCCAGATACCTGCACCCCTGTAACTGACAGAATGCTTTCTTTCCTGTGGTGCCATCACCCCTTCCACAAGTTCCAATAAAGGGATTGACCCCTGCACTTTGTTCTCTTACCTTCTGGAGAAATGGATCCCCATCCTGTGGCCCAACAAGCAATGTTCTTAAGCTTCACATCGCGGGGTGCAATGCAGACTGGGAGCACAGAGTCAGAAAACACAATGCGGGATTTCAGCTGCACCAGTGCGACGTCACCTCCGACAGGGTGGTGCTTCTGATATGTAGGGTGCAGGATCAACTGATTCACCTCAAACCACTGGGTGTGATTGTCTGCGACCCTGAGGTTCACAAGGCCCACGTATATATCAAGCACCTCAATGCTCATGTAACTGTGGGGACAGAGAACAAAGGCACAGTGGCTTGAGTGACTTCACCTAGAGAGTAGAGCCAACACCAGCTCACAGGCCCAGGGAGGCCTGAAGCACGGTGGCTTGGGTATGCAGGCTATCACCCAGGATGTGGAAAGCGAGCCTCTTGCAGCACAGTGGGGACCCAGTTGTCTGGCAGAATTGCCTCGACAGAAGTCCTGACAAGGCCCATGGAAGTTTCAGGGATGACTAAGAACCTGCTGGCTGCCAACAGCCGAGGCTGGGGAGCTCGGGTGTACAGTGAGCAACTCATGAAAGTAAGTCTCTCCTCTCCAGTCATCCTGTGAGGTGTCCCCTTCCCTCTCATCCTGTGAGATGTCATCCTGGAAGGCGTCCCCTCTCCTCTCATTGTACATTTGGCACCATACCTACCCTAAAGAGCCCACGGCTCTGCATAGTACAAGACGAAGGTACAGTTGGTGCAGCTGTGTGCTGGGCCCCCTTCCCCACCCCCTATTCCGAGAAGTGCCAGCCCAAGGCGCCCACGTGGTCAGCCTCACAGGCCTGTCCTCCATGGGAATAACGGCGAGCACTGCCGACGCACCTGTTGAAGCAGTGGGCTGCCGTCAGTACCCAATATTCGTCAATGATGGACCCACCACAGATGTGGATGGCTGCATAGTGCACGCTGACCTGCCATGGCCACTTCCTCTCAGAGGCATCCATGCCCCCGATGACCTTCCCTTGCACGTGACGACGGCCACAAGCTGAGGGGTGAGGGAAAGAGTACTTGCGTTGCAGCCTCCTATGGGGTAGGCCATGTCACAGGCAAATTGGAGGAAGGTTTGCGTGTGAGGGAGTGGCAAGGAGGGGACAGAAGGTCAGGGTGAGGAGGACAGGGGAGTGGGGAGGTGGAGGGAACAGCGGGGGAGAGGGGAGAACAGAGAAGGGGAGGGGAGAGGAGGGCAGGGGAGACACAGGAGAGGAGGCAGAGAAGGGGAGGGAAGAGGACAGGAGGGGAGGGAAGGACAGGGGAGAGGAGAGCAGGGAAAGGAACAGGAGGGGAGAGGAGGAGAGGAGAGGGCAGGGCAGAGAAGTGGGAAGGGAAGAGGAGGGGAGGGCAGACGAAGGGGAGAAGGGAGAGGAGAGGGGAGGGGAAGGAAGGAGGGGAGAGGAGAGGAAGGAGAGGAAGATGGGGAGAGGAGAGGAAGGAGAGGAAGATGGGGAGAGGAGAGGAAGGAGAGGAAGATGGGGAGAGGAAGGTGGGGAGGGGAGAGGAAGGAGGGGGAGGAGAAAGAAAGGAGGAGATGGGGGAGGAGATGGGGGAGGAGATGGGGGAGGGGAGGGAGGGCAGGGCCGGTCTTCACCCAGGTATGAATGGCAGGCCTGCCTGTGCAGCAACCACCCCCGACTTGGGCCTGGAGGGGTCCTACCCGGGTCAGGGTTCAAGGTCACCCCCTTGCTGGTGGGGCGCCCGTGGGCCGTGGCTGCAACCCGGGCGGGGGGCAGGAGGAGCAGGAGCAGGAGGAGGGCGGACAGCACGGCCGCCATGAGGCGGGAGGGCCCGGTGCTGCGAAGGCCAGAGCCTGGCGGACGCGTGACGGCCCCAAGGCGCGACAGCGCGACGGCGCCCGGGCACGCGACGCGTGACGGCACCACTGCGCGACAGCGCGACGGCGCCCGGGCACGTGAGGGAACCCGGAACGCCTGATTCGGGCCCTGCATCTCAGGCACGTGACGGTGTCCCCCCCCCGCCCCGCTCTCCTGGACAGTGTCCCGGCAGGTCCCGGGGCACCTCGGTTCCCGCGTGGCGCCGGCTCTCGGGGGCTCTCAGACGCGCGTCCTGGCCGTCCCGATCTGTCCGCGTACATGGCTCCCGGACGCGGGCGCTCCGCCTGAGGTCTCCTCAGGGCTGGCGCGCGACGGGGAGGGGCGGTGACTACTGCAGGTGAGGGGAGAGAAGGCTTCTCACGGGTGGGCTTGGGCGCCGTCCCTCCGGCTGGGCGTGTGGGAGACGCGCAGCCAGGGATGATGTTTCCAGGGGCGTTCGGTGACGTCTGGATATGTTTTTGATGATCAAATTGGGGGCTTGCGCCGCTAGCTTCTAGTGGTTGTCCAGGCTCACTGCTATGGGGTAGGCCACGTCACAGGCAAATTGGAGGAAGGTTTGCGTGTGGAGGGAGTGGCAAGGAGGGGACAGAAGGTCAGGGTGAGGAGGACACCCTCCCAGAACAAAGAATTTTCCAGCCCCAAGTGTCAATAATGCTGAGGTTAGATATTTTGGCCTACGGGTTCCATGGGGCCACCTTAGTGCAGGGTAAGGAGTTGGAAGATGACCTTCCACTGATGAACTTGGCTTCTATAGCAACTTTTGGGGGACAGAGGGGTGCAGCTTTTCTCATGTTTGCCTCAAGAACCGGCAGGATTGTTAGAAGGTTTCTGTCATGGTGGCCACCCTTTCCTGGTCGTTTGGCTTTTCTTAGGGCTCGTGAGTGGTGGGGGAAGGTGGGTTGCAGGTTGCAGGCTTCTCTACAGCCAAGTTGGACACTTGGGAGGAAAGAAAAACCCCAGAGAACTCCCCCCCACCCCAGTTGTTCTAGTCCTGAGGTCCTTTGCTAGTCTACCTTCTTTTGTCCACCTTTTAAATCTTCCAGTAGGTGACTTGTGTTGTTGTGATTAGTGGGAGGAATAAGATGGAATGTGTTCATCGTTCTTGTCTAACCCTTAAGGAACTTGAAGTCCTTAATGACTTTTAACTTTTTACTCTCCCAGTTGAGTTTGTTTCCTCCAAGCTGCTATTTTCAACTTGATGTTTATTTTCCATGTTAGAGGCTTTCCTTCGATGTCTCTATTCCTTTTCCGTTTGAAATTAAGACTGTTGGAATAAAAAGTGATTGGGAACTCTGGAGTGTGGACAGGGCTTGTTTGCTTTGAGCCTCCGGGTGAGAGAACTAGGTGAATCATGGGGAGCTGCTGATGTCAGTATCTTTAGGACAACACTGTAGGCTTGTCAGCTTCTCTGGAGGATCCTTAACTCCTTCCTTAATGGTGGGGGTCTTACTTCAGGGTTCTGGCTGCTCAGGGAGAAGGAGGCTGTGTCTTAACATTCTGCATTAAGTATGTATACCATCTCATGAACTTCTAATTTTGGCATCCAGGGCGCTAAACCGTGCCTGGGACTCCCTGATGTGGATTACCCATTTTACTCTCTGCAGGAAACAAAACTCCAGCTTTCTGCAATAGTCAATAAGCTACATTAGTCCAGAGATGTGGAGTGGGGAGGAGACTTAGGGATATAACTGTTTCTCAAACAACCCCCCCCCCCCACCCCCCACCAATACTCCTAGGTTTAGCATTCCCTCTCGTAGTTAGATCTAGACATACTGGTTCTTTTTGAGAATTCTGTGTTACAGATTGTGATGTTTTCAGCTTTTTCCACTGCCCATTCAATTCTGTTAGGTCAATTACTATTTATAGATCTACCATCCAGCTGTCAAAACTTTTTTTGTTAAGGTATAATTTACGCACAGTAAAATTCATCCACTCACGCGAGTTTTGACAGATGCATACAGCCACGTCATCACCACAATCAAGCTGTAGCAGAGTTCCATGGCCCCCCTGTTCCCCTGTGCTCCTTTATAGTCAAGCCATCCTTCTACCCCCAGCTCCTTGAAACACCTAATCTAGTTTTCCATCAACATAGTTTTGCCTTTTCCAGAATGTCATCTATGTAGTCTTTTGAGGCTGGCTTCCTTTACTTAGCATAATGCATTTGAGATTCATCCATTAATGGTCAATAAAACCAACTGGGCCTGGAATTTGCTTTTCTGAAGGGTTTTTAACTCTGAATTCAAGTTCTGTAATACAGTCATGTGTTGCTTAATGATGGGGATACATGTGAGAAATGCATTGTTAGGTGATTTGGTTGTTGTATGAATATCATAGAGTGTGCTTACACAAACCTAGATGTAGCCTACTACACACCTAGGCTCCATGGTACTGATCCTACAGGACCACTGTGATATCTGGGGCCCGTCGTTGACCAGAACATGGGAACATGCAGTGTATGACTGTATGTATAGGACTATTTAGGTTATTGGTTTCTTCTTGAGTGAGTTTTGGTACTTTGTATCTTTCAAGGAAACTGTCAATTCACTTGAGTTGTTGAATTTATGGCCATAAAGTTGTTAGTGAATATTCCCTTATTATCCTTTCAATGCCTGTTGTAATGACCCTCCTTCATTCCTGATATTGGTAACTTCTAACTGGTTATTGTTTTATATAATGAAGGGTATTGTTTTTTTGCATGCTACTTTACTGAATTTTCTTTCAATTTGTGATAGTTTCACATTGATTCTTTTTTTGTTATTGAATTGTAAGAGTCCTTTATAAATTCTTGATACAAGTCTCATCAGATATATATGGCTTGCAGATATCTTCTCACAGTAGGTAGTCTGTCTTTTCACTTTCTTGAATGTGTTCTATAACACACAAAAGTTTTGAATTTTAAAGAAGTCCAGTTTATCTGTTTTCTTTTGTCATTTGTGTTTTTAGTATCATATCTAAGAAACCATTGCTTACCCCAAGGTCATGAAGATTTACTCCTATGTTTTCTTGTAACATTTTAGCTCTTACAGTCAAGCCTGTGATCCATTTTGAGTTAAATTTTCTGTATGATGTGAGGTAGGGGTCCAATATCATGCTTTTGCATGTGGATATCCAGTTGTCCCAACACCATTTGTTGAACAGACTGATATTTTCCTGTTGATTGTCTTGGAATCCTTGCCAAAAAACAATTGACCGTAAATGTAAGGGTTTATTTCTGTACTCTAAATTCTAGTCTATTCGTTTATATTTCCATCCTTATGCCAGTTCCACAGTATCTCAAGTACTGTAGTTTTATAGTAATTTTGTAATCACGAAATATAAGTCCTCCAACTTTGTTTTCCTTTTTCAAGATTGTTTGGAGACTATTGCCATCTGCTACAGGTTGAATTTTGTCTCCCCCTCAGATATTTTGAAGTCCTACTCCCAGTACCTCAGAATGTGACCTTATTTGGAAATAGGGTCATTGCAGATGTAATTAAAGTTAAGATAAGGTCAACTGGAGTAGGGCCTTAATCCAAAATGACTGTTGTCTCTATAAGAAGAGGAGAGAGAGGCATACAGGAAGAAGATGGCCACGTGCAGACACAGAGACACACAGAGAACGCAGGTGAAGATGGAGGCAGGGATTGGAGCAATGCATCTACAAGCAAAGGAATGCCAAGGATTGCCAGCAACCCCAGAAACTTGGAAAGAGGCGTGGAGCGGATGTTCCCTCAGAGCCCTCAGAAGGAATCGACCCTGCGGATACCGTGATTTCGGACTTTCGGGCACCAGAACTGTGAAAGGATAAATTTCTGTTGTTTTAAGCCATGAAGTATGTGGTATTTTGTTATGGCAACCTCAGGAAAAGTACAGATTTTGGTAACAGGAGTGAGATCTGGCAAGTCCAAAATTTGTAGTACAGGTGGTAGCCTGGAGACTCTGACAGGGGTTGAAGTTACAGTCTTTTTTTTTTTTTTTTTTTAAAGATTGGCACCTGAGCTAACAACTGTTGCCAATCTTTTTTTTTTTTTTCCTGCTTTATCTCCCCAAACCCCCCAGAACATAGTTGTATATCTTAGTTGTGGATCATTCTAGTTGTGGCATGTGGGACACCGCCTCAACATGACCTGATGAGCAGTGCCATGTCTGCGCCCAGGATCCGAACCCTGGGCCGCCGCGGCGGAGCACGCGAACTTAACCACTTGGCCACGGAGCCGGCCCTTGAAGTTACAGTCTTGAGTCTGAAATGTGTAGGGCAGGTCAGCAGGCTGGAAACCCAGGCAGGGTTTCTGGGTTACAGTCTTGAGGCAGGATTCTTTCTTCCCCAGGAAACCTCAGGTTTTTGCTCGTAAGGCCATCAATTGACTGGATGATGTCCACTCACATATCCAGGGCAACCTCCTTTATTTAAAGTCAACTGATTGTAAATGTTAATCACATCTACAAAATGCCTTCCCAGCAATATCTGAACAACATCTGAACAAACAATTGGGCACCATAGCCTAGTCAAGTTGACACATAAAATTAACCATGACAGTCCTCCCTTGTCAACTTGGCACCCATACTTATTCCATATTTAATCTCCTAATCCATACGTAATCTCCAGATAGACACGATAACGGAGTCATACTTATGCCAGACATGATACAGTCCTTCTGAGTATAACTGAAAATGTGCTAGCCCTTCCTCCAGGAGAGGATACAGCATCGTTGGATGATGCTCACTCTTCTCCTTGACATCCTATAATACACACGCGCGCGTGCGCACACACACACACACACACACATACATACATACATACATTCATAACAAAATAAGGAAGAAATACTCATAACAACTACAGTCCTAGTTTCTGCAGATGCTCACATGGTCCTAGCCAGTATTTGTAACTTCCCTCTTCCACTACTTGTTCTATATCTCTTTTGCCCTCAGCAAGCACCTTAGCTGGTTGTAGCTCTTTACCTCGTGAGGTGGCTCAAACCTCCATTTCTGAAGGGTCTGGGCCCTTAGTAGTCCTCCCTGAATCAGTTGGTTGTA